ACTGTAAAATTCTGGAAAGAGTGGAAATCGTTGTTTACCCTAAGAAAAAAGAAAAAAATTAGTTCGGATCCTGATCAAAATCTGATGTTGTGGGTTTCTGCAATCCACCTTAGCTGAGAGGAATTCATTTTCCATTTCAGGGTCAGTATTTCAGTAGCTGAAAGCAGTCTGTGCATTCATTTGAAATGAAGGATGGGAAGTTCTCTGAAAAGGTTTGAAGTCTTAATTCAATTGATATTGGCACAGTAAACTCTAGGACACATCCAAATGCATTACTGAGACTCCTCATGCCAGCAGATTTGCAAAACTAGGTATGGAATTGCATCAAGTTCTTTCTGCTATGTGTTTTAAGGTAAAGTGATACAGATCTCCTTTCTTCACGTGAGAAGTGAAGCGTGTTTACTCAGTGACAGCCTCCCTGTATGAGTGACACCGTAACAAAAGGCAAAAATAGAATATCTAAGTCTTGCTTACCCTTCCTGATTCTGCATGCTGGAATGGGATACACACATATATAGCAGTGAGCAATGGGGATTGGAACATCCCATCATTGCTTATTCCCATGGTCATTCCACATTCTCATGGTCTTTGACCAGGAGTTACAAACATCAGGGGAAAAAAGTGGAATTCATGTTGCTGTGTTTTAAAGCCAAAATTTTGGAATTGTGAGACATTTTAAACTAAATACTTTGGTTATCTGTTTTGCTACACGTATGCAAATATAACCTAATTCCGCCTCCCTCATTGCTTTTCCTCATAGCTTCCTACAAGACCTAAGATCCCAAGGGAAAGTTCAATACACTGTTTAAAGTTTTGTTTTTAGACTTTCCAGAAAAAAAAAAGAAATATAGAATAATTTTTTGTCAGGATGATTATAGCTTCAAGTAACAGAAAACCTTGATTCAACATGCTTAAACGATAAGACTATTAATTACTTCTTGTAGCAAAAAAGTCCAGTGGCTGGGCAGCCCTGAGGCATAGTATAGTCAGGGCCCAGCTTTGAATTTTTCTGTGCCTTAGATTCTCTTATGGCTGGCTCCTGTCAGGGTTCAAAATGGTCATACCAGGTCTGGATGACGTATCCAGATAGAGCAATGACCAAGGGCAGAAAAATGGGGCCACCTTTTCTATGTACGGCTTTCAGGAGGAAAACAATTTTCCTTGCAGAAGTCTGGCTCATTAGCCAGACATATGTCACATGGCCATGCTTAAACCATTGACAAAAGCATTGGCACCATGTTAATCTTAGACCAGTTAGGACCTACCCCAGAGCCTGGAGTTGGAGTGAGTTTCCTTTAAGTATATGACTGCAGAGAAAGGTAGGTATTTGGAGAAAGGAAGAAGTTGGTGTGGCTGGAATTGGGGAGATGAATTAACGTTGGACAGGCAGCCAACTGTGTTTGCGACAAGTTTTCTTCAGCATGTTTTCTTTTTTTTTCATCCTGACAAATTCCAGCTTTGTCATTTCCTTTGTCACTCTTACTATTGAATGTTTAGTATGAAGTGTATTAGAACTTGAGGATATTAAAATTTAAAAAGGTAATATCTCTGCTCTAGAGGAAAACATAGTCCTTTCCATACAATTAAGAAAAGGTGAGGACTCTTTCCAAGATGGCGGAGGAGTAAGACGCAGAGATCACCTTCCTCCCCACAGATACACCAGAAATACATCTACACGTGGAGCAACTCCTACAGAACACCTACTGAACGCTGGCAGGAGACCTCAGACCTCCCAAAAGGCAAGAAACTCCCCACGTACCTGGGTAGGGCAAGAGAAAAAAGAATAAACAGAGACAAAAGGATAAGGACGGTACCTGCACCAGTGGGAGGGAGCCGTGAAGGAGGAAAGGTCTCCACACACTAGGAGCCCCTTCGCGGGCAGAGATTGCGGGAGGCGGAGCGGGGAGCTTCGGAGCCGCGGAGGACAGCACAGCAACAGGGGCGCGGAGGGCAAAGCGGAAAGATTCCCACACAGAGGATTGGCGCCAACCGGCGCTCACCAGCCCGAGAGGCTCGTGTGCTCACCCGCCGGGGGCGGGCGGGGCTGCGAGCTGAGGCTCGATTTCGGTTTCGGTCGGAGCTCAGGGAGAGGACTGGGGTTGGCGGCTTGAACACAGCCCGAAGGGGTTAGTGCGCCACGGATAGCCGGGAGGGAGTCCGGGGGAAAGTCTGGACCTACCCAAGAGGCAAGAGACCTTTTCTTGCCTCTGTGTTTCCTGGTGCGCGAGGAGAGGGGTTTTAAGAGCGCTGCCTAAAGGAGCTCCAGAGACGGGCGCGAGCCGCGGCTAAAAGCTCGGAAACCAGAGACGGGCGGGAGACGCTAAGGCTGCTGCTGCCGCCACCAAGGGGCCTGTGTGCGAGCACAGGTCACTGCCCCCACCCCTCTTCCGGGGAGCCTGTGCAGCCCGCCACTGCCAGGTTCCCGGGACCCAGGGACAATTTCTCAGGGAGAACACACGGCGGGCCTCAGGCTGCTGCAACGTCACGCCGACTTCTGCCGCCGCAGGCCCGCCCCGCACTCCGTGCCCCTCCCTGCCCCCGGCCTGAGAGCGCCAGAGCCCCCGAGTCAGCGGCTCCTTTAACGCCGTCCTGTCTGAGCAAAAAGCAGACGCCCTCCAGCGACCTACACGCAGAGGCAGGGCCAAGTCGAAAGCTGAGCCCCTGTGAGCTGTGAGAACAAAGAAGAAAAAGGGAAATCTCTCCCAGCAGCCTCAGAAACAGCGGATTAAAGCTACACAATCAATTTGATGTACCCTGCCTCTGTGGAATACATGAATAGACAGCGAATCATCCCAAATTGAGGAGGCGGACTTCTAGAGCAAGATCTATGATTTTTTCCCCTTTTCCTCTTTTTGTGAATGTGTATGTGTATGCTTCTGTGTGAGATCTTGTCTGTATAGGTTTGCTTCCACCATTTGTCCCAGCGTTCTATCCGACCATTTTTTTTTTTAATTTTTTTCTTAATAATTAATTTTAATTTAAAGAACTCTGTTATACTTTACCTTCTTTCTATCTTTCCTTCCTTCCTTCCCTTTTTGAGACAACGAATCGTCCCAAATTGAGGAGGTGGACTTGGAGAGCAAGTTTTATGATTTTTTCCACTTTACCTCTTTTTGTGAGGGTATATGTGTATGCTTCTATGTAAGATTTTGTCTCTATAACTTTGCTTCCACCATTTGTCCTAAGGTTCTATCCTTCCCTTTTTTTTTTCCTCTAAATAATTATTTTTTTAATTCAATAACTTTATTATACTTTATTTTATTTTACTGTATCTTCTTTCTTTCTGTATTTTTTCCTTCCTTCCCTCATTCCTTCCTTCCTTCCCTCCTCCCTCCCTCCCTCCTTTCTTTCCTTCTTGCCTTCTTCCTTTCTTTTCTTCTTTCTTTCTTTCTTCCTTCCCTCCTTCCTTCCTTCCCTCCTCTCTTTCTTTCTTTCTTTCTTTCTTTCCTATTTCCTCCTACTTATACTAATTCTCTCTACTTTCTCTCCCTTTTATTCTGAGCCGAGTGGATGAAAGGCTCTTGCTGCTCCAGCCAGGAGTCAGGACTCTGCCTCTGAGGTGGGAGAGCCAACTTCAGAACACTCGTCAAGAAGAGACCTCCCAGCCCCACATAATATCAAACGGCGAAAATCTCCCAGAGATCTCCATCTCAACACCAGCACCCAGCTTCGCTCAACGACCAGCAAGCTACAGTGCTGGACAACCTATGCCAACCATATAGCAAAACAGGAACACAACCCCACCCACTAGCAGAGAGGCTGCCTAAAATCATAATAAGTCCACAGACACCCCAAAACACACCACCAGACGTGGACCTGCCCACTAGAGAGACAAGATCTAGCCTCATACACCACAACACAGCCACTAGTCCCCTCCACCAGGAAGCCTACACAACGCACTGAACCAACCTTAGCCACTGGAGACAGACATCAAAAACAACGGGAGCTACGAACTTGCAGCCTGCAAAAAGGTGAACCCAATCACAGTAAGATAAGCAAAATGAGAAGACAGAAAAACACACAGCAGATGAAGGAGCAGGATAAAAACCCACCAGACCTAACAAATGAAGAGGAAATAGGCAGTCTACCTGAAAAAGAGTTCAGAATAATGATAGTAAAGATGATCCAAAATCTTGGAAATAGAATGGACAAAATGCAAGAAGCAGTTAACAAGGACCTAGAAGAAATAAAGATGAAACAGACAATGATGAACAACACAATAAATGAAATGAAAAATACTCTAGATGGGATCAATAGCAGAATAAATGAGGCAGAAGAACGGATAAGTGACCTGGAAGATAAAATAGTGGAAATAACTACTGCAGAGCAGAATAAAGAAAAAAGAATGAAAAGAACTGAGGACAGTCTCAGAGACCTCTGGGACAACATTAAACGCACCAACATTCGAATTATAGGGGTTCCAGAAGAAGAAGAGAAAAAGAAAGGGACTGAGAAAATATTTGAAGAGATTATAGTTGAAAACTTCCC